GAAACAGGTTGATAGCTTGGCAAAAGCAATTGAATCACTCACAGGAAAATTGGAGAATCAACCTAAAAATGAATATTCTCGTGGAAATGATCAACCATCTGGACAACTTTATGAACCTCGACCCTGTTACTATTGTCATAAGGAAGGAAATTCAACCATAATGTGTTACAAAGCACAGAAAGATGAACGAGAAGGACTAGTCAAGAAAGAAGGGCGTGATTTCTACCTTCCCAATGGCGAGAAAATTCCATGGGATCCTTCAAGACCTATTCGGGTGGTTGTGGCTGCGGACTCCGCAAAACCTAAACCTCAGATCACCAAAGTATACCGGACCGATCACCCATCAGTTTTTGAACAACAGGCAGAACCAACACCCAACTCAAACAACTATGTCTCATCAATGCACAAAATTGACTGGAATCCACCATATTTAGGTTCAGAAAATTTTGACAAGGTCAAATCCAACGCAGCAACAACACGAGCAGAAGCGCTCCGTGGAAGAAGAAAGCCCATGGCAGCAAACGATGTGGTAGTTATTCCTGTGTTTCTACGCTAAAAATATAAAAATTTATTCTCATCTTTTTCTACATCAGATATAAGGTAAAACAAACATCAAAAACGGATTCCTGAGGTAAAATAACCCCTAGTCACCCACTACAACTACCCCCTTATCTCTATTAGTTCAGAAGTTACACCTATTTCAACGTATCACAGGATATCTCTTGGATACTTTACTCTGACTATAGCTCTCTTTGAATACTGGATGCATATTGCATATTGAGTTCCTTTGTTTCATATTGAATTCCTTTATTAGCTCATATTTCATATTGAATTCCTTTGTAGGTGCACATGCATTCCTTTGTAGTAGGACCTTGTAGGCTAGCTAAAATCCCTCAAGGCTGTGCTATCACTAGCTAAATTCCCTCACCTGCATGTACTAGACTAGCTAAATTCCCTCATTGGATATTCAGGCCAGCTAAATTCCCTCACCTGCATGTACCCTGGAGCTAAATTCCCTCACTTTTGTCTATATAAGGAGGCCTCTGCCTGCCAGTTGTATTCCCTCCTCATCAGATGCTCTGTAGTCAGTCCCCCCCATAACACTACATCACTGGTCACTCTTCAATATTATTAGCTACCTAGTATTGAGGTTTTATAATTATAACCCCCCTTATATATATTATAACAGTTTATAGTGTAGAAATATCAACATTACTTTTTTTCATAACCACTAAGCTATCTCACCTTTGCCTGAAATCACTGCTTTTGGCTTTATACCCACTACAAGGACTGGG